AATGAGTCAAATAAATGAGTAGGAATCAAATAAACGAGTGAGGGAATATCTCACTATTGGTTGCGTGAGCTGCTGTTGACTAGGCTAAGAATATTGCTAAAGTATAGGATAGACGGTTGCTGGAGTTTAGGAGAGTTGGTTGAGTGACTTCTTGTATTTAAACCTGGGTTATACAGAACCAGGGGAGTTGAATTTCCAATAAAACCACAGGTTATTTTCTTGCCTCAAAAGAAAAGTCTATCAGGTTATTATGTACAATTAAATTGTCAAACATTCAAGGAGAATGGTGCACAATGCAATCCTCTTTCCACGCAAAATGGAGAACATGACGATTCTAAAGGAGTTGTGGTTTAAATTGGTTGATTCAGACAAGACAAGGAGCATCATTGCCCCTCAGCTCAAGAGAGCTCTAGTAGTTGGAAACCTAGAATTCCCTCTCTACATGTTGCCCATAGATGATCAGAATGTATGATTTTTATCGAAATGGAACAATGAGCATTGAAGAATTTGTTCATTTTAACAAGTTTCTTCTTAAGGTTCGGCAAGCTTTTTTAGACCTAGAAGGAGGGCATGGATTTCTTGTTCCTAATGAAGTTTATGAGGCTTTGATAAAGGTCAGGTTTTCCCTTGATCTCTTGCTTTTTATACAATCTGTGAGAGCTTATATTAGAATAAGAATGGAAGGCTCTGGCTGGATGGTTTTATAGCACCTTGTATATTTTTACAGTTTGTTTACTACATGGGATGCCAACTGTAGAATATGAGAAATCAAAGTACTCCATCATGTTCTCCTCCTCGTCTAAAGATACCCTCTGAATTCTTTTGGTATTTATTGGAAATTGTGATAGATGTAAAACATTTTGTGTATGCATGAGTGTGAAGTTCTTTCTTCATGACTATTCTAGTGTGAAGTTCCAATGAACTAGTAGACATGGTTGAGGTAAAAAAAAGTGGAGTGCTCTCTACCAAATTGATTTATCAACAGTAAGAACTACTTGCTTTTACCATCATGGGTTTGCATACCGTTTCCATGGCATATGTCTAAACTTAGTGAAATTTCAGGTAGAAAAAAGGGCAGCATGAGTCTGAATTCGATTGAGTTTCAAGGCGAAAAAGGAGCGGCATGAGTTTGAACTCGATGGAGTTTCAGGGAGAAAAAAGGGCGGCAAATGGGTTACTCAATTTAAAGTTTATTTCATTTTATCTGACATCATATACAAAAAATGATAAAATGGGCATTTAAGAAAACTAATGCATCAATCAAACATTTTCCGTCTGGGATAGCGATGGAGGGGAGGTTTATGTTGAGTTTTTCAAAAGTTCGGGAAGTGGGGGGGTTTGTTAAAGTGAAACTCGAGGAGAGATTTTATGATTGTTACAAACTTCAAGGGGGTTTTTGTTTTATACCCAATATTAAATCAAAATTTAAAAATTAAAAACTAGAGTTCAAGTACTTAATACGGCCAAGCCTGGTGGCCCACTTGGGCCTGGCATCCCTGGCTCGACCCATAATCATCCATAACTTCAAGATTATAGCATTTCAAGTGGATCTCACCACAATACTATACTGGTGGCTCTACATAGGGCCGCAAATGGATCGGACCGGTTTCAGTAAGGGTGTATCCGATCTGAGCCGTTAAGAAAAAATGACTGATCTGAATCTGATAAGAATCCGCCGGATTTTCAAGAGCATAATTCGAATATATTATTGGACATTTGATTCATTAGAATTATAATAAAAAACTTGATGATGTAATATGAATTATTTATATATGTAATATTATATAAATAATTATATTATTTATATAATATAATAATATATTCAAATATAAAATATAAAATCTATAATATATAGTTATATAAATAATATATAGAATATACATATACAATATATAAATAATATATACTATATAATATTTCATAATTAATGAATCAGATCGGGTCACAGCGGATTAGATAAGCCAATATCCAAATTCGATTCGTTAAATAAGGGATCAGCCTTTTTGATCCGATCCAATTTATTAAGATCAAAAGAGAGATCCGAATCTGCATCTTAACATATTGGTATTGGTATTGGATTGGATCTGATATGACTTATTTGCAACCCTAGCTCTACACACAAGATTCCGTTTTCCTTTTATTTTTCTATTGGTATCACAATAATTGGGCCAATTTATCAGAGTTCAACTCAATTTATGGATGTTAGTAGGGTAGGGGGTGGAATCATAGCAAGGTGCACCTAAGATCCAATAGCCAATACGGTGGAGAAATTGCAGTTTGGCAGGGTTGAGCTCATATCTCCACTTTGAGAGTAATGCTGAATGACCCTTTCGACCGCTCAATCATTAGCGAGAAAATTTTCTTTTGATAATAACAATATTATTTTCATGATTTTCATAAAACATAAGATACAAGATAGGAGAGAAACAGACCAAACATGGCCTTAAGGACATTGCCTATTTTCCGCGATTTACATCTTTCTAATAACATAAGAATAGTGATTAGTGATGTCATTATCGTTATTATTATTATTATTATTATTATTATTATTATTATTATTATTATTATTATTAATGATACAAGACTAAAGCTAAGTTTGAGAGTGCTTTAAAATAACTGCTTATTCGGCTGGGACCACACCAATGAGAACTTATTTGTATTTGAGAAATAAGCTTGAAATAAGTGCTTATTTTGAGAATAAATACTTATTTGAGAAGTCCAAATTTTATGTTTATTTTTAAGTACTTATTCAATAAGTGTGTATTTCCTTTTAGCTTATCTTAGCCCACCACTTTGATGATTAAGTACTTGTTAAAAGAAGTAAGACCTTTAGGCTGTTTGGTAACCCACTTTTCAAATCACTTATTATGTTTTTGAGTATTTATTGGGGTGGAAATGTTTGGAAAGCTACTTTCCCCATAAGTGTTTATATTTATGCAAATGACAATTTTAGCCCTTACTTCACTCATACATATATACAATACTTTTCACATGTTATACTATACATTTCAATTGAGAGCCAACGTAGAGGTTTTATAAGTGCTTATATTTATTCAAATGACAATTTTAACCCTCACTTCACTCATACATTTATATAATACTTTTCACATATTATACTATACATTTCAACTGAGAGCCCACATAAGATCATATGGATCTAATTAATAATAATAATAAATAAATTATCATAGTACTTGATAATACTTCCTTCTTATCTACCCCTCCTGGTGGTGATTGGATTAAACCAGTGGTAGAATTCGGAGAAACTGGAGAATAAACTAAAACAGATGAAAATTGCCGAGGCCTCACCAGAGGATTAGTGTCATTAACCTGTACCATTGCAACTGAGGCATTGTGTGATGAGACTGTTGCTGGGGGGGAAGAGAAATAATATGGTCAGTGGATAAGGAAGAGTACACGATTGAAGCACAGTTCCAGCTGTTGTAACGGTGGCAACAACAAAAAAACAATTTTCTCCATTCGATTCTGTATATGCTACTAGAGCATTCCAATCTTATAAACCAAATTAAAACGCAAGATTAATTTGCATGAACCTCTGGTTTAAATAAGCAACCAAAAAAATCTAAAAGAAACATATAGAGATGCTCTTCAATTGGATTACCAAAATTAATCGGGTATAGAGATACTATGACTACTCAATGCACAAAAATGAAACCGAATAGCCTCAGACATGACCATAATAAAGAAACCATGAGAGGAATCAATTTGAACAGAGGGAGGTTTCACTTTAAACGAATTATTATTTTTTTCTTCGCTACGAGTAAACGAATTGACAATGCTAAGTTCTCTTTTCAATAAGAAAAATAAAGACCCCATAGAACAAAGTCTGAGCAAATTAGGAAACTAGAACAGCATTGAACAAAACAAGTCGACACAAAGAGATCGCATTAAATTCATGAAGCGAAAAAATCACGAAGAGCTTCCATACCTTTTTCTATGAAGCTTGAACAGAGATGTATAAACACGATAATCAACACAATTACGTTCGAAAATCACCGAATAAGGATAAAATGGTGCCTTTTCCGAAAATAAATATGTACATGAAACAGGGAGGCGGAGAAATTATAACGACAAACGAGAAAAAACGATTTGGTGCAGACAAAACAAAGAAGAACCCATTGAATAAGAGAAGAAGAAAGACGAAAGAAGAAAGTGGAAAAAGCTTGAGCTGCCATGACATGGGTAGTGATTGTCGCCGGTGAACTTGTAACTGGTGCATTGCTGCTAGGGTTTGAGGTTCGACTAAATGGAGGAGGAGGTATAACCCTCACGAGGTATTTTAGGCATTATAAAAAAATATCAGGGACTAGTTCATCCCTTTCTTTTTGAGTCAATAAATACTTAAAAAAAAATCAATTTGAAGTCATTTTTCAAAGAAATACTTCTTTAAAAAAAAATATTTCTTCCCCACTTTTTTACCAAACACCCATAACTACTTAAAAACCACTTAATGTGTAGCCCCATGTCTTAAAAGAAGTACTTCTTTTAATTTTTTTAAAGTGTTCTCAAATAGGGCCCACATCATTTTAAAATGCCTATACTACTCTGTTTAAAATAAGTATTTTCCACTAAACACTCATAAGTGCTTATTAGAATAAGATTTTATTTTTAAACACTTATTTTTTAATAAGCACTCTCAAACTTGTCCTAAACTTCCCTGGGGTTTATGGTAAATACTTAAATCTCCTCATAGAAATATTGGAATAAGATGCCCTTAAATTTAACATAATCAATGAAAAGATGTTTTTACCCTTTACTATTCTTTAAATGTTCAAAGAATATTTAAAATTTGCACCAAACGTAGCAAAATCAGGCAGTGTAATTGTTCCAGCAACTCAGCAAGCTTCGATTTAGTTATATATATATATATATATTGATTGCATGGATAGGTTTATGAAGTTCGAGAAGGGGCAACTTTGAGTATTTAGTTATATATAAATATATATATATATATATATAAAGAAGAGAAGTTTCAGTATTTAGTTACACCCTATTATTATTTGGGAGAATGATGGATTAGCACAGGGTCAAAATTTTTAAGTCCAAAATACATTTTGGGTGAGTGCCAATTCAGAATTGATTCTAATTCATGGGCAGACATTGGTGTAAAGAGGGGCATTTTGACATTTTGAATATTTATAACTCTACAGTGAAAATAAATATAAAAAAGAGAAGTTTCAGTATTTAGTTACACCCTATTATTATTTGGGAGAATGATGGTTTAGCACAGGGTCAAAATTTTTAAGTCCAAAATACATTTTGGGTGAATGCCAATTCGGAATTGATTCTAATTCATGGGCAGACATTGGTGTAAAGAGGGGGATTTTGACATTTTGAATATTTATAACTCTACAGTGAAAATAAAAAATCTGCATTAGGTTTATCCGTATTTATCCGTTATTATTATTATTTTAGGGGCAATTACTTGGTTATTGGGTCGACAAGCGTGAGGATGTGGGCTCCAAAATGAAAATGGTCAATTTATGGCCAGAAAACCAAATGCTAGGTCCACAATCCACATCCACATCCACTCCACCCCTCGTAATCAAGAATAAACACGTCAGTTGTTGATCCAATCTGGACCTCCAAAGCCCCCAAATAGCTGTAGTAATGGCCTTTTTATTGTTGAAATGTCTAAGTATCACATAGTCCCATGGTACACACAGTCATACACCACCCGTCTCCTCAAATCAGTACATGCAGAGCTTGGTCTGAATGTCTGATCAACAAAAACTGTACAAGGAGCACCGACTCTCTTACAATATGTACAAGCAGAGGCAGAAAATTAAAGCAGGCAGGATACATACTATAAACCCTACAAAATCCGTCGGAATGGTTTTGTTTTAGAAACCACCATTTGAATATCTGTTTCTACAGATGCCCTCTCGTTCCAACTTTGGAGCCCGGCTCAAATCGGAGACGCAGAGCTGAGCCCGAACCTGTCAGACAGCTTTGTTCGCATCAATGGTGAGAGCAGCTCCATCTGATGGATGAATTGAACATCATGAACCAATGGGTTGCCGGTTCTAGTCGGAGGAGATCCACAGTAACACGATAGAGAGCATCCGGTGCACGTGGATTCTTGTCCATCGTTATTCTGCATCGAAATTAACTTCTTTTGCTATAAAAGTAAAACCATACAACCTATCATTTGATGGAAATTAACAGCCTCTGCATCCCAACTCTCACCTTGGAAGCAATCATGTTGAGAAATTCGCTCCTCCCTTCACCATTGGATTGACTAATTTCATACAACAAAATTAAATTAATTAATTAACTAAATTGCTTTTAGTTTCTTTTTTGTTTTTTTTTTGGACGAAAAACGACAAAATCTTTTAATTTTACAGAGACCATCTATCGAATACTAGTCGTGGGTGGTTGCTGAATTTGAAACCCACATCTCCAGCTAAAAAAGAAAGATTATTAAATTGAGGGAGGGACCTCCTTACCTGTGTTTATGACATCTAGGAGGCTTGAGAAGCTCCGGCACAGCATCTCCCAGCCTTCGAGGCTTAGGACAGAGCGGTTGTTCTCCAGTTGCAAGCTTTAGCTTCTTGTTATCGGAGTTCGAATCAACGAGGTTGCTTTTCACTGCGAAACGTTGCATTTTCATCTGTTATTATGTCCTTTCCATCACAAGTAATTGTTGATCTCTGAGTAATTTGATCCCTCTTATTTATATTTCCAAATTCAAGTGGTGAGAAGTGAAACTAAATTGTCTTAGAAAAAAAAACCAGCCACATAATTGAAGAAGAAACAGGAAAAGGAACCCAAAAAATGGTAAGTTAGCAACTAGTGATGAAGCATTGGATCTTAGGCTCCGGTTGAGTAGGGGAGAAGAAGTAATTGTGTGGGTGAGCTTGGACATCGGCTGGGGTGGGACTTGGGATCTGAATATCCCTCAATGCTCTACTATTGACTCTCTTACCTTCCCTACAAATCATTTGGTCCACTTAAGTACCTCTATTTTATCAACTTATTTTCCCCCCTTCAATTTAATTTCACTCCGGCCTTATAGGGTAGAAGTTTGATAAACCAGAACAGACCGTGGTTTGAACTATATAAACTCAGTCGGGCCAAGTTAAAGAAGATGATTTGGTATTGAGTAGCGATGCTAATGGCTGGACCAGGACAAAGCCCGAGGCCCCGAGCCAAGTTTTGACGGGGGTGCAAATGCAACAGCACTCTGAGGCATGAGCTGCTCTCTATTGGTAATGGGCCTGGCCATTGCTGACCTGGCTGGGCATCGGGCTTAGGCTACTGAGACATTCAATCTATGACAACATCAAAACTAAAATCTATCTTTGTTTATCAATTGACAACTTGTTTTCATTTTCCAAATCACAAACTACCATCCAGTGCCATGCCCATGTCGCATAAAAAAGGTCAAAATCATGTGCTGCAGGTATGATCGACGTCCAGGCTTGGATGAAAATGTATTTGTAGACCCATTGGGCCAAACAGGCAATATGTGGGAGATGTTGGATTTAATCCTCCATGGTCCAGAACCACAAACTTTACACAGTCTGAACTTGTCTGTTTCCGCCCAGCCTGAGAGGCTCCATTTGATGTGAATGTCCCCCACTTTCACCATGAATTGATGCCAAACGGCCGAAGACCGTAAACCTGACTTTATGCTAGCTTGACTAATTGTGAGTCATGCACATTGTGTTAGGGGTAATATGGGCTTGGTTTGGGCCTCTGTGTGCCCATATCTGACCTGTACATTCATGGGGCATAGGCACATTGATTTTTCTGTCATACATGGCTTTGTCAAGGAGCGTATCCTAGTAAAAACATATAAAAATAGCTTCCATTCCATTTTATTGTGTATATATATATATATATATATACGTTGTCAAGGTTGCTGGTTGCATTTTTGGATAAGCTCCTGCTTAAAACGTACTTCTCAATGTATATGTACCATATATGTGTTGAGTTGGTTTGTTACTGCCTAGTCCAATAAATCCCTATTCTTAAGGGTGTCATTATTTGTTTGTTTTAGTCTTACCATGTTTCTAGGAGTTGTTAGACATGGTTGCTTAATTCTTGTTCAGTTTGTTATGTAAGGCTATTTAAATAGCCAATGTTGTTCTCAGTTTGAAGAAGATAATTTATTTTCTCCTCAATATTTGTCTCTTCTCTTTCTTAGTTCTTAACATTTGGTATCAGAGCTCCAAGGGGCCTGATTAAAGTTTGAAGCAACAGTCTTCAAAAGTATGACGACAGAAAGTTCATTTGTGCAACCAACAATCCCGTGATTCAATGGGCATTATGATCATTGGGCAATGCTCATGGAGAACTTCTTGTGTTCAAAGGAATATTGGGGCTTAATAGAGAATGGAATTCCTGCAGCAACAGAAGGTGTTGTTCTCACAGATGCACAGAGAAAGAACATTGAAGATCAGAAGCTGAAAGATTTGAAGGCGAAGAACTATCTATTTCAAGCATTAGATCGTTCAATCTTGGAAACGATCCTTAACAAGGATACAACAAAGAACATATGGGATTTCATGAAACAAAATATCAAGGAACAACTCGAGTCAAGCGTGCACAGTTGCAAGCACTTCGGAAGGAATTTGAAATTCTCCACATGAAGGCAGAAGAATCGGTGAACGAGTATTTTGCTCGGACTCTTACCATAGCCAATAAGATGAAAGCAAATGGTGAGAACAAAGGAGATGTTCCTGTTGTTGAAAAGATTTTGAGATCTATGACTCCCAAATTTGATTATGTTGTATGTTCCATTGAGTTGCAAAGTAGCCTGCTTGTGCATGAACAACGTATGAGTGCTCATGTTGAAGAAGAACATGCTTTGAAGATCACTCACGGAGATCAATCAGGAGGAAGGGGTCGAGGCCGTGGAAGTTCTAGAGGAAGAGGACGGGGAAGAGGCAAACAAAACTTTGACAAAACCACAGTGGAATGTTACAACTGTCACAAACTTGGGCATTTTCAATGGGAATGTCCAAGCAAGGAGAAGGAGGCCAATTATGTAGAAACTCAAGAAGAGATGTTGTTGATGGCACATGTGGATATGAACAAAGCCAGCAACGAAGATTTGTGGTTCCTTGACTCCGGATGCAGCAATCATATGTGTGGGAAGAAATAATACTTCTCAAATCTGAATGTGAATTTCAGAGATTCAGTGAAGCTAAGCAACAACTCAAGCATGGCTGTAATGGGAAAGGGTAACGTCAAGCTGCAGGTGAATGGAATAGCACATATTATCACATGAATATTCTATGTACCAGAGCTGAAGAACAACCTGTTGAGCATTGGGCAATTGCAAGAAAAAGGGCTTGCTATTCTGTTTCAACATGGAAGGTGTAAGGTGTTTCATCATGAGAGAGGCTTGATCATGGATACGAAGATGTCTGTAAATAGAATGTTTGTKCTACATGCTATATCTCARCCTTTAAAATCTGCTTGTTTCAACACAATCACTGAGGATTTGGTGCAGCTTTGGCATTGCAGATATGGACACATGAGTTTTATGAGCTTGAAAACTCTTCAGCAAAAGAAAATGGTAAATGATTTACCTCAACTTAAGTCTCCTTCAAGGCTATGCAATGACTGTTTGACAGGAAAGCAACAAAGAGATTCATTTCCAAAGAAGAGCACCTGGAGAGCTTCACAAATTCTCCAGTTAGTACATGCTGATATTTGTGGACCGATCAAGCCCATCTCCAACAGCAAGAAAAGGTATTTGCTCACATTTACAGGTGATTTTAGTAGAAAAACATGGGTTTTCTTTTTGACAGAAAAATCAGAAGCCTTTGATGCTTTCAAAAGATTTAAGGTTTATGTTGAAAATGAGACAAACACATCCATTAGAGGCTTACGTACTAATCGAGGAGGAGAGTTTATGTCACAAGAATTCAATAAGTTTTGTGATGTAAATGGTATACAAAGACAGTTGACAGCCGCATGCACGCCGTAACAAAACGGAGCCGCGGAACAAAAGAACAAAACCATTATGAATATGGTACGTAGTATGCTTTCAGAAAAGAAAATTCCCAAAACCTTATGCCCTGAAGCAGTCAATTGGACAGTAAATATCTTGAATCGAAGTCCAACATTTGCCGTAAGAAATAAAACTCCAGAAGAATCTTGGAGTGGAATCAAACCTTCGGTTGTGTATTTCAGAGTTTTTGGATGTATCTCTCATGTTCATGTACCTGATAGTAAAAGAACAAAATTAGATGATAAAAGCTTGAGTTGTGTTTTGCTGGGAGTTAGTGAGGAATCAAAGGCTTACCGACTTTATGATCCTACTTCACAAAGGATCATAATAAGTAGGGATGTTGTGTTCGAAGAAGACAAGAGCTGGGACTGGGACAAGAAGTATGAATAAGCAATTGGGTGCGATTTGGAATGGGGTGATCGAGAGGAGGAAGCGGCCATTTTTTATGACAATGAAGAGAGAAGTGAGTCTGATATTGATGCTAATGTAGAAGAAGAAGAGGAGAATCTTTTCCCTGATTCTTTGGTCGAAAGTTCACTTAGCTCGAATGAAGGAAGGAATAGGAGACCACCAATTTGGATGCGAGACTATGAAACAGGAGAAGGACTCTCTGAAGAAGACAATGAAACTCAATTGGCCATGTTTGCAGCTGTTGATCCTATTCGTTTTGAAGATGCATTAAAAAGCGAGAAATAGAGGAAAGCCATGGATGCGAAAATGGAAGCAATAAAGAGGAATGGCACGTGGGAATTAATGGAGTTACCTGAAGGCGGAAAGAAAGTTGGAGTGAAATGGGTTTATAAAACAAAATTTAATGAAAATGGAGAAGTAGACAAGTACAAGGCAAGGTTTGTAGTGAAGGGATATTCTCAGCAGTATGGAATAGATTATACAGAAGTATTTGCACCTGTGGCACGTATGGAAACAATTCGTTTGGTGGTGGCTCTTGCAGCTCAAAGAGGATGGGCTATCTATCAGCTAGATGTAAAGTCTACGTTTCTCTACGGTGAGTTAAAAGAAGAGGTTTTTGTGGAACAACCTTGTGGTTATGTGCAAAAAGGACATGAACACAATGTTTATAAATTAAAAAAGGCACTTTATGGGCTTAAGCAAGCACTTCGTGCTTGGTACAGTCGTATAGAAGCATATTTCATGAAAGAAGGTTCTGAAAGATGTGACTGCAAGCGTACTTTGTTCATCAAGACAGGAAAAGAAGGTAAAGTTTTGATTATCAGTTTGTATGTTGATGATCTCATCTTTACTGGAAATGATGAATTGATGGTCTTAGAATTTAAAGATTCCATGAAGCATGAGTTCGACATGACTGATCTTGGCAAAATGAGGTATTTTCTTGGTCTCGAAGTGTTGCAGAAATCAAATGGTGTGTTTATTAATCAGAAAAAGTATGCGTCAGAGGTGYTGCAAAGGTTTGGAATGGATAGAAGCAATTCAGTTCACAATCATATTGTTCCAGGTTGTAAGCTGGTGAAAGATGCAGGTGGAGCTAAGGTAGACAAGACTCACTTTAAACAAATGGTGGGTAGTCTCATGTATTTAACTGCTACTCGACTAGATGTGATGTTCGTAGTTGGTCTTATAAGTAGGTATTATGGAGAATCCTACTAAGCTTCATTTACAAGTGGCAAAAAGGGTGCTGAGATATTTGAAGGGAACACTTGACTTTGGAATCTTCTATAAGAAGGGAGGAAACAATGAACTTATTGTTTACACAGATAGTGATTATGCTAGAGATTTGGAAGATAGAAAAAGCACTTCAGGTTGTGTATTTTTATTGAGTTCAAGAGTAGTATCTTGGCTATCAAAAAAGCAACCAGTAGTAAGTCTATCTACCACTGAGGCTGAATTTATCGCTGCAGCTTCGTGTGCTTGCCAAACAGTATGGCTGAAAAGAGTGCTGGAAAAATTGGGTCTGAATCAAGGCAAGACAACTATTATTAATTGTGATAGTAGTTCTGCAATCAAGCTTTCAAAAAATCCAATAATGCATGGTCGTAGTAAGCATATAGATGTGCGTTTTCATTTCCTTCGAGAGCTCACAAAGGCTGGTACTGCGGAATTAGTTTATTGCAGCACACAAGATCAATTAGTTGATATAATGACAAAGTCACTCAAGCTAGATGTTTTCTTGAAGCTGCGAGCATCATTAGGAATTTGTTCTGAAAATGATAAAAATTGATGCTTATGGCAATCAGTTTAAGGGAGGAAATGTTGAGTTGGTTTGTTACTGCCTAGTCCAATAAATCCCTATTCTTAAGGGTGTCATTATTTGTTTGTTTTAGTCTTACCATGTTTCTAGGAGTTGTTAGACATGGATTGCTTAATTCTTGTTCAGTTTGTTATGTAAGGCTATTTAAATAGCCAATGTTGTTCTCAGTTTGAAGAAGATAATTTCTTTTCTCCTCAATATCTGTCTCTTCTCTTTCTTAGTTCTTAACAATATGTATATATGCATTAATGTTTGTATTTGTGCTTTTTAAGCCAAAGTTTAGGATTTGTGCTTTGGGGCTTAAAAGTGAATAGGAAAATGAGTAATACATAATTACACATATAATCAGTAAGAATGCCAGGACTCCCATGTAATGGCACTAGGTCATCAAATGAATACAATAAAAACATACTAAGCTACTGGATAGCCAAAAACTTTCATAAGCTTTCTCCAATGTACAATGTTCTCTGAGCTTTTGTAGACTTGTACAAATTAACTCTACTTCCATTAGAACCAAGTCCTGAAACTCAAAGTGCAAAAAGTTGATAAACTACCTAGCAATAAGCAACTAACATTAGCCTATACTCTAGTTGTATCATTCACATGGACACTATTAGTGATGATCTAATTGAAACTATTTATACTTATCCTTCATGAAAATCCTACAACAAAGGGGTACCCTTCATTGGAAGTAATGAGGAATATCCTCCCTCTGGCCCCGTACTTCAACTAGTGGATCAATGATGTTCCTCCATCCTTCAAAATCAACAGCTGAGCCAGCGTTAGGCAATTGAAACCCATTAACAAAGAAAGAAGGTGTCACTATCACCCCTCTTGAACATCCATACTGCAAAACAAAAGCTTGTATTTAAAAGGACTAAAATGATAAAAATATGAAACTGAAAAGTTAATGAAAAGCAAATGATATGTACTTCAGATTACAATGAAACTGGTTCTCATTAACTGGCATGGTCAGACACTCAGATTGTTTATCATGTGGTCTGTGGGTAGGGTGGGAGACCAATTAGTGATCTACTGAAAGTAAAGTTCAAGATCTTACTTTGAAGGAAAACCTTGCAGCGAGCTCTGTTTGTTTGTCCTCAAACCCAGATTCGATTACAGATAACGAGTTGTTTCCAAGAACTTTTGCCACTAGCTTCGCAATAAGATGATCAGTAGATTGTTTAGACTTCTTATAGACTTCCTTATTATAAAACTTCTCCTGTTAAAAGATCCATATTCACCAAGTTCAGTATTCATGAACTCAAGAAATTCATACAGACTGTTTAGACTTCCAAAGGTTTCTTAATTGTAAAATCTCTCCTTTTTAATGCCTGCATTCTATATGCATAGAACCAGTGTGAACCTTTGAATTTCAATGATCAGAAACCATATTTCATTTTTATGGAAAATGATAATGATGTCTAATTGTTTATGTGGTAAACTTGGATGGTTCTACTTCACTCTGTATTTTCCAAATTGTTCACACAGGGTTGACAGTGGTGGAATACCAGACTTATATATGATAAAAAAACAATCCAATTAATGCATGTCCAACAATTTTGGATCAATTGAAAAAAGAAAATACTCGGTTGAAAAAAGAAAGTTCACTCTAGTGCTGTCAAAGAAAACCAAAGCCTCTACCTTCATTGGGCCCTCCTCTATAGTTAAATCCTTGTTTAATCTTCAGTTACCATCAAGATACATCTGGAGGCAAATTATAGCAGCCATATCATTCGCACTTTTTTTATGACACTAGGGATTCAATGTTCTAAATTTTGTAGAAAATTCTTTAAGTTTTGTTTCAGTTTTGACAGAAAGGAAATACATATAGAACTCGGTGTGTAACTGTATATAGAAATCTAATCGTAATAGGAAATGTTACTATAGATTTAAATAAAGAAAATGAAAAAAAAAAGAATAGATGGTATATATAAGTATGAGAGGAAAAATAGGAATAGAAAGAGATAATATAGGAAAAATAAATTAAATATTTCCTGAGATAAGCAAACACCAGGTTTTACTTTTATACTTGTCAAAGTTTCACTGAGGCTTAGTTTGGAACTTGGAAGAAGTACAAATACACAAATGCATACAAAATAATTCCTAAGTCCAAACCAAAAAATTAAAAGCATGAATTTATAAGCCCAAGGCCCAACAAAAATGCGGGTTACGCTGCGTTAGGGTTGGGCCCACCCAGGTTGCACCCCTAGAATTTAGGGGTTCGGATGAGGTAGGCATGAAGTTGTAAGCACGTTCAATAAGCACTTGAAAATTTTTTTGACATGTATCCCTTAAAATACCCTCACCCTACCCTTGAAAAAGATCAATACTCACTTTTGACAGTTGTCAAATATTTATCAAATGCTCGTTTAACGTGCTTACTTTGATGTGCCTACTAAATCCAGTCATTCTGGGCTTTAGAGAATAAAGATTTAGAAGGATATCACCTCTGAGAATTTTAAGAGGAATTTGCAGAATTCAGAGGTGTGTAATGATGTTTTACCAACGGCCATCAGGCCTCTGAAAGGGGATTTTCAGAATCTAGTTTATATCATCTTAACCATCAAGTTGAATTTATTAGACTACTTAAAAAAGGAATACATGAATCAAAGTATATGGAAAAGAAAATTTAAATAGCTTTTACAAATCTTATGCAAAAACATGTCAGATATGGAGTGAACTACAACAGCGAAAATGAAAAAGCTTCATAAAATTGGTTATTTAAGATGGCTGCTACACATAATTAACTTTATTTAAAAAAAAATCACCAACCTGATTCTGGAACAACGTCTCCAACGCTTCGTATGTGACAGATGCATTCACTCTATTTACAATATGTAGTGCACGGCTAGCAGAGAAAGAACTGTCATGGTAACTGCAATTTCCACATGGAAATTTGTCACATTTATTTCAATGAAGAGAAAAATATATCATTTAAAAAATAGGCCATGTTGCATGGTAGGAACTAGGAACGGACATCAGATCAGATTAGAAAATCTCATAATCCTAAACACAACTCAACTCAACTCAACTCAAAATAACTCAATTATTCTGTTCAAAATACCCGAATTCATGCAATAAATTTGAATGGGTGTAAAATAAAAATAAACGTTATGATTATTTTGCTTCTCCATAGTCCACACGACACACATGCTGTGAAGAAAACCCATTGACCATCTTCAGCAACAAGTAAAGAGCAAACAGCTTTAATCTCGCACAAAATCTCAAAAATCAGAGTAAATACTCGTATAGAGAAGAGAACAAGATGGAAGAAGTAAAAAAGTAAAGTAGCAATACTCAAATTTGTTGAAAGCGCAAGAAAATCTGATGAGATATTCACATAGACATAGACAATCAAGCAAATGCCGTAAGATATAATCTGGTTTCGAACGGTTGAATTTACGAAAGAGGCAAAGCAGAGATAAAAATTAAAAAGAGAGAATACTGACGGCAATGGGAAGATGTGAATAATGAGCGAAAGGCGATGACCGTAGTGGTCGAAAGCCTGCTTCAGAGGGGGCCAAGACTCCCTGCTGACCGGGCAGACCGGGTCGAGGAAAGCTTCAATGAGGATTGCATCATCGTGAACTCCTCGACCCTTGTAGACGAATCCATCAAACTTGGTGGGAATCGGGAGCTGGCAATCCACCACCTTCCATACTGACATGATGCAGACGAAGACTGAAATTGAAATTAACATTGACACTATCTGCTTCCGTTTCTCAACCTCCATGTTTCTCCCAGTGCTTCCCCGTTGCTTTAACAAGAAGCATCTCTCGTTTATATAGAAAGAAACAATAGAAATTCTAGGGAACCATACTCCACTCCCACGGAGAGACCAATGTGCCCCAACTGTATTGTCCTCTTCCAGCATTTAATGACGTAAATACCCCTGAATGACGCCAAATCGTACCTGCTCGAGTTTTGGAGCTCTGGTTGCAAACTAGGTATAGCATCCTTAGGGCTAGAGGTAAAAGGGCTGAACGAGAAGCATGAGGAGGAAAGAGCGGTGGGGCCCAAGGGAATTGAAACAGTTGGACCCATTGAAGATCCTACGGATGATAAAGCCGAAAAAGCACCTTTCATTTCAAAACCTCGTTTGACAATATATTTACAAGAATACCACTTCTAAGCGGTCGGTGGACTGGTCACTTGGTCAGTGTGAAACTGGAAGCTGAAAAGTGAAAAACACCGAGTGATTTGTTTTCCGGTTGGACCGTTGGGGTATGTGTGTGTGTACCATAATAGTGTGATAGTGTCACATGTGTGTGTTTTGATCCTTTTGGAATGTTCATTGTTGAACATAAACGTGGGCGTTCTACTTGTAAGTACTAAGTTGTTGTTTTCCCTAATCTGAAATTAGTTCCTTAAAATGATTTAAAAAAAATCTGTTATACAGAAACATCCAAGTACAAAAATATTTAAAATAACTCAAAATGAGAGCGTTTAGTGATTCAGAATTCAGAACTACATGTGGTTTGTGGTCACAATATAATAAACAAAGATTCGCCATATTTTGTTCACTTTTCGATAAATTATTTATCTGAATAAATTTTGTTAGGATAAGTGTATTTATCCATGTTTTTATTTTATTTTATAGGTAAATAGTGCAATAACCATTTTAATCATAAAAAATTCATTATTTTGTCCCTTCATAGGTAAGTGATACCCATGAAGATAAACTTTCCCTCATCTTCACATAAAGTAAAAGAAAGAACGAGTTCCCTAATCCCCATTGGCCAATTTTCCCCTCTTAAAATCTCAAAAAAATGACCCCTCTCTAAGAGATCTTGAATGCCTGAAGTTTGATGCGTACAAAGTCTAATAAAAAATTATTGAAAAAATATCTTATTTTTGTCTAAACCGTACGATCAACGATGAGCTTATCATGTCAAGATTCTTGATTCGGTGCGAGATGCTACACGCCAAGCCTTACTACTACTAGTTACTACCCTAGTGGATTAGTCGGTTAATGTCTTAATTAATGCTTTAATGGAGTGGGTCAGGGGGCGCATCTCACAGCCCCGTCCCACTTGTATTGAAAACATCTCCCATAAATAACAATACAAAGTGCGGGTAATGTTTCTACTTTTTAATACACGGTGGGATAAGGCTATGAGGTTCTTGTGAGATGCGCTCAGTGAGGAGCAGATCTAGATTCACGGCAAGATGCATGCAGGTCGCACCGGTTCATACAGTGCAGAGACTCTACTTTAACCTCAAGGTTCAAACTTCAAAGTATTGACATGTGGCGTATCCAGTATATAGTATCATATCTTTTGGGTATGGAAATAATTGCTTATAAGGTTGTGTTTGGTTGCAATGTGAATAAATTTGCACTGATGGAAAATTATGGCAGTGCAAATGATTTGAATGTAAATTTTAACCTATTTTTGTTTCAAATTTTAACTAATTTTGTTTGATTGCAGTACAAATGAAGTAAATTAAGCCATGAAACAGAGTAAAGTAAAACCCAAAATAAAATTAAATGAGAATTTACATTTTTTTTCATTTGTATTCCTATGCTTTTGTACTAGTGCAAATAAAATTGCTCTAAAGAGGTGTATGATACTTTAAACCTTACCTCTGCTCTGATCAGACATTTTTGAGCTCATAAGCTGTTTGAAAACTTATGATATAGTCTTCTGCATAACATATTATTATTATTATTATTTATTAATTAATTAACCACAGCGGTTATCAGGTAAGTATTATTTATACACTAAGATTTCCTTAGGCTCAGTTTAGAAAGAGTATAAATACAAATATATACCGAACAAATACATACAAAATAATACAAAAATAAGATTTTACACTCTACATATTTGTATTTGTACTCCTTCCAAACTGAGCCTTAGTAGATGGCTATAGACCACACATACCAGTGTTAGATTGGGCTTTGCTAGGCCTAGGCGCATCCCATCTAATAAATAGAACTACTTGGGAGTATTAAGAAAATTACTTGGGAGCATAGTCATGTTATTGTTTGCAATTCACAAAAGCCAGATAGATAAACTATCACAACCAAAAGTGAATTTTGATGGCCCATTACTGTCTCATCTAGATGATACCCAAATCCAGTAAAACTGCTAAAAGAAGGCCTAAGCAACTTGATTATCATTTATCAGACTGGTTTCCTGTTGTTTTTTAAAGGTTCGACTATGATATGGAAAAGATATAATATCCAAAAAACAATTGACTAATAAACTGAAATCATGAACATATTAGCAAATCAGGTGTTATTCATCAAAATTCATGGGTAGATGTTGATTGATCAAAACTCTTTCCATATTATATCTTTCCCGTATCATAGATTTTCCCTTTTTTTCAAGAGACAAGTGTATATTAAACGCTGAGGCTGGGCCCAGCATTAATACAACTTACCTCCTAAAATCCAAAACCGAAAGTACCAAGAAAACGCTACTCCTATTGGACATTCGTCACTTGGAAGACACCTAGGTCCTGCCAATATTGCCCCAACATATTTGAAGTTGAAAGAAATTAAAGTGAGATAAAAATAAAATAGACCCTACTCTCAATGAAAACATAAAATAAAGTAAGGTCGATAGGGGTTCTCATCTCTTTTATCCTTATTGTTTGTTTCGTTGCTGGGGTCTGGGCCTGGGCCTGGGCCTGGCAATATCTAACCTATTAAATTCAAGTGCACGGTTGAGAAGTTCCAACTTGGAGAAGCTTCTATCGAACTTCCCCAGATTAGGAGATTTTCAATGACCGTTACCCTTATTCCCCACTTCATGACACCCAAGTGTGGGTCCCATGGGCCATGTCGACGTATATTAGAAGGAACATGTTTTGAACTTTCGTCGTAATAGGGCACTCGTACGTAAAAAGCAGACGGAACGGTGCTTGGTAGATACTCTACATATATAGAGTCAGTCATTGCAGTTTGCAGCATTGATCTCTATCAGGCGCAGGCCACGAATTAAAGGGTCCTACCGTCCGAGCTGAAAGCCTTTAAAATTATCTCAGACCTCATCTATTGAAGTCTGAGTTTTGCTGGTAGATGGCTGATTCAGTGACCGTTTAGTTTGGGAAGATTTTCAGGAAGCGGCTTCTTGCGATAGCTTTGCAAGGTGGGTCCTATATGAAAAGTCTAAAAAGCAGGAATATGCTTCAATTCAGCTTATAAATCAAATGAAAGCTAGTTTTAGTAGCTTCTTCAACATAGCTCAGCTAAAGCCAAAGCCCTCCGACAATGTTCAATCCCATCGTCCCATCACATAACGCTCCCCAGCTTATACCTACTTTGACCTGTGTTTGGGTACTAAAACGGTAAAACCAATGTTATAAGACTCGAACCAGACTAAAAACCAGAATGCTTTATAAGTCCCAATTTTACTGATTAACCGGGCAATTAACCCATGCAAATTATCATTTAATCAGGACCCGTTAAGGCTTTAGGTTCCCAATTTTTACAGTCCCATTGTCAAATCTAGATTGAATCTTATTTTTTTGGTACTCGTATGCTCTTGAGGCTACACAATTCAGCCAATTTGATCTTGATTCTTGAGTCTCAAAATTCCACCAATTCAGCCATCACCAATTGCTAACCAACTATAATACCTTTCAAGGAAATGGAGTTGCATTTGCCACCTAATTAATTTGAACGGCATTCAATAAATCCCTCAAGTCACACAAGGACAACCGTATGATCTTATAATCAAGATCAAAGTATTAGTATTGGGTATCATATCGGATAAATCGAATACAGATAAAGACACGAATACGTTTTGGAAATGTATGAATACAAACGAAAGATATAGAAATGCTTGGATACACTAAGAAAATGCATGCAAATCACATAAATACGTTAATAATTTTAAGCCAAAAGTGAATTATCTACAAAAAAAAAAATATAAGCACATGAGAAATGCATACTTCAATAGGTTATATGAAGAGAAATATTGCAACAAACAATACCGGGACTCTAGAACATCCAAACATCATACAATAATTATCACTCTTTCAATTTTTATAATTATAATTTTCACTTTTATTAATTTTTGGGAATATTTATTAATTTACTATTTTTATTTAAATAACAACTATTTTTTAAATAATAAATATGTTTTCATTTTTAATATATAATGCTTTTATTTTACATATAATTGTAAAATAAAACAAATCATTTTAGGTAGATAAAATAAATTATTTATAATTTTCAGTTTTTATTGATTTTTTTGGGGAATTAAATCTTAAATTATTCATTTCAGTTTTTATAATTATAATTTTCTGTTTTCCATTAATTTTGTTGGACAAATTTATTTGTTTAGTATTTTATATAATAACTCTATTTTTTTCAAATAATAACTATGTTTTCATTTTTAACATATAATTATGTGTAAAATAAAAATATATAAATAATCTAAGGTAGAGGAATTATATTATTTTTATAATTTTTAGTTTTTATTAAAATTTTTGAAAAAATTAAATCTTAAATTATTTATTTCATTTTTCATAATACTAATTTTAATTTTTATTAAAGATGAAAAACAATCCAAAAGTAGTAAATATATAGTTTTGTCAAACTAGGCACGAATACGCCTCTGTATCGGTGTGTATCGAACAATATCCACCAATACGACACGATATGGCCCAATACGGAAGCGTATTGTGTCGATACACATTACTCGTGAGATACGTATCTAATCATGGTGTATCCCGTATCCATGACCATAAATATGGATACAATACGCCCCGTATTGAGAGTATCATATCAATACCTTAATCCATGAGTTACAGCTAATTAGTAAAATAACATAACTTTTATTTAATTTGGGGGCCATACATAATCCAAATAAATAATAATATACAATAATGCTCAAATAAAAATTAAATGTACTATTTTATAAATCTTAATAAAATGAACAATCTATCAAATCCACTAATCCATATTTATATAAAAATTGTTTTAATTTTAGAAAAATTATGAAAATAAAATATTGATAATAGGATATTTTTTTAGTAATTAAAATTTATGAATTTACATGATATGTATTTTGGACTTCGACATTCTCTTGAATCTTTTAAATATATATATATATATATATATACCAATGAGGTGGGGGTTGATTTGGTCAAAGTTCTTTCAGCATCATGTCTTCCGACAACATAAATTTTTCACATACTATAACATAACAATGTAATATATGTAATATATGCATGTGGTAATTTGTAAAAATTTATGTAATATATGCATTGGACTCTTAAGGGGCATTCTATAATGTGAATTGTTTTTCTTGTTTCCTGTTCCAAAAACAAATCAAAACCATTTTGTTTGAAAACAAGTTGTTTCTTAAAATAAAAACGCAAGAAACATGCTCTTGGTTTTGTATGTGCTTTTTGTTTTCAAAACTGAAACTAAAAGCATGTTCTTGAAAACATATTCTTGAATCTAGTTTCAAAAACATGTTTTCATCTAATTATTCAACATCATGTTCCATAAATCATATAATTTCAATACTAAAAAATTTGATTTTGTTTTAAAAACTAATATTTTGTTGGTTTAAAACATGTACTTTTTTTGAAACAAAACCAACTTGTTTTTTCCTTTGAAAACAAAAACAGAGTTTAATTCAGAACAAAGCTTTATTATTTTGCTGATGTAGCAATTCCAAAACAAATGAAAACAAAAACATTAATGTTGTAAAACATCCCCTTAATTAATTGATGCATTGTCAATAACATTCCATGACATTTATGTATCATACTATATTTGATTGTGATGTATTTCTTCATATGTACCATTAAAGTATTTATTTTTTATATATTTAAATCTTATTCATGGTCATTTCAATCTTGAATGTAATGTTAATAATGCAATTTCCTTAATATATGCAAACATATTCATATCTTTCCACCGTATTTACTTGTATCCAAAGTGTATCATGATGCATCCATATTTTGAAGCTCGATTCTATACGTTATTTGTATGCTATTGCTGGTTCCAAAACCAGCAGAATGGCCTTTTTTAAACACTATGTTTTTATGACTTTCTCAACACATGTTTTGTCAATGTAAACATGACATGGCAGTTAAATAGTGAAAGTACATGTACACATGAATCATGCAATCTATACTCATTTATCATCGTTTAAAGAATGAACCATTACCAACTGAGGAGTGGCTCAGTTGGTGTGTTAGCTGGATCGCTCCATTCCCGCAAATACCAAAACAAAAGGAAATGAAGAATGCAACATTAAAATATTACAGCATCTTTTGCATGGTTGTTCGTACTCCAATCCAACCGTCAAGGTTAAGAATTAAGATATCGGTCTTACAGCCGGAACGGGATCTGTTCCTCATATAGAGGCGCCTCACAGGTACATCCACCTTGTATTGGGAACATCTCCCGTGAATAATAACTTATAAGTATGGGAGATGTTCCCAATGCATTGTAGGATGTGCGTGTGAGGAGCAGATCCGGTCTTCCTACAGCTACACTTGGAGCAATCACCCAATATGGTTGTAAGGGATAAGATCTGATCTTAGGCCCAGCATTATTTTGCCTTTTTGACTGGTTTCAGTTTTTATTTCAACAAATCCCAGCCGTCTATAAAAGATGGGCGATGTGCAAGACTCCCGATCTCCTACCTACAAGAACTCTATCTACGCCTACCCATAAAACACTACCTCTGTGCATTGGAAACATCTCCTCATGCATAATAACATATAAGAGAATGAGGTGTTTCCATGTGTGGCTGCGATGTTATGTCTTATGTGGTAGAGTTGTCATGGGTAAGAAATCCGGACTCGACGTTCAACACGACTAACACTGATCCAAACCCAACAAACCTGTTGGAGTGTTGGAACTTAAAACCAAGTGCAACTCGACAACATTTGCCAAATTCAATAGCAGATTTCTCCGTTTCATACCCAGGCCTGAGAACCACTGGCATGTGCAACTAAGGTGGATGAAATTTAAGAGCAGGCCCTTTTAAGGAACTTTTTCGGGAATCTATGCAGTCATAAAAGCAAAAGCAGTATTTTCAAAACCAGATTAGACCAGACGGTCGGACCAAAAAACTAGAAATACTCACCTGACCGGTTCTGTTTCACCCCGAAACTGCTTTTTTGACCAAAAACTATTGATTTGGTTAGTGAACCATTGACCCAGGGGGTCAAACTGTTGAGCCATAGACACGAACAACGGTTTTTGGCCTTTTTTGTCAAAGTAGGCCACCATTGACCCAGGGGGTCGGACTGTTGAACTATAGACACAGACAACGGTTTTTAGTCTTTTTTGTCAAAGTGGGTTGTCTGTTCAGTCCAAACGATTGGACCGTTCGACTCGGGAGCCGGACCCTAGAACGGTTCTTTGTCCCAACCAGTTTTAAAAAACCTTGCATAAAAGTTAAATTTGAGTTCATAATATCAATTTTTATCTTTACCCTTTACCTTTTAGGTCCCGTTCGCATTTCAGTAAGTTACTTGTTTCCCAGGAAAGATTTACCTAGGTAAGTGCATTTACCTATGTTCTTTTATTTCCTATTTAAATAAGGCAGTGACCATTTTATCCATAAAAATCCATTATTACAAGGGGCATTTTTGCCCTTTTCAAGTGTTGGCAACTTTCCCCCAAGGTGGGAAAGTTATTTACCCACCTAGGAAATAAGTATCACTTACCCGAATAAGTGATACCTAGAAAAATAAAGTTTCCTTGGTCCCCACATAAATCTAAAAAAATAACATAGGATTTTTGGTCAATAGGAATCAAAATCCCATTGACCAACTTTTCCCCTCTCAAAATCCAAAAAAAGGAACGCCCCCTTATATGCATGTGCCATTATACTAGTATTTATAATACCAGAAAGGCATGATTACTACAATAATTTTGACGAATAAACTCCCCATGAATTTTGACTAATACCACGTTACCACCTTTATAGTTTTATGATGCCAGATGATTAGTTATAAGTTTTTCCCGTATCATGCCCTTCTATTGTTTTGGTTGCAAAAGGGAAAATAATGGAAAAATCAACTTTAATAACAATCATTAATTAATTAGTAATATTTTATTATTTTATATTTTACTATTATTAATTATAAATATTTTAACGAAATAATTTTATAATTAATTAATACTTATAATTATATAATTAACTATTAATTAATAATTAATATTTTAAATTTTATTTTATTAATATTTACTATAAATTAATTAATAATTTATTTCTTATTAATAATTTTTTAAGTATTTAACATTTTTACTATTTAATTATTTTTATTGAATCATTAATTAGATTAATAATAAAACTCTTATTTATTTATTCATTACTTAATTAATTATTAATTAATTAATAATACTTTTCTATTATTTAATATTTTATTATTAATTATATATTGATTATTTAAAATCCATAGTTAGTTAATTATTTTAATTATTTAGTATTTTTACATTTTATTAGTTTAATATTTAAAATAAGTAATTATTAAAGTATTTATTTATTAATTAATTTAATTATATAATTTAGTTAATATTAAATGATTAATAATTTATTTGTTGGTAAGGAAAGTTTTTTTTGTTAAATAAATTCTCCCTGCATTTCCACTACTACATCCCAAAAATTGGGATCTATAAACCCAAATCATGACATCCCACAATCCACATGAGAAGAGAAGAATATTCACAAATCAAAACAATCACCCAACAAGTTTTTTTAGAATAAAAGAGATGGCAATTATATTCCACATTCTGAGAAGCAAATATTAGGCACCCATGCCCTTGATGACAGAAAACCCGCCTGCAAAACACGGAAAACAACCCAGAATCAAACCAAATGACTACAATAAACCTTAGAAGATGGTCATAATAACAATTGTAGCTTGACTTGCTTTCTTGCTTTGAGAGAAAAGAAGCTAGAAACTGGCTGATCTACACTCCCACCACCCAAAAATATAGATTTTCGGTAACATAACACTTAAATCAAATCTAAAATATGAGTATCATAAAACCACTCTTTTCTATCCAAAAAAAAAAAAACTTCAGAAACCAAAAAACCCGAAGTCTAAATCTTCATAGTCAGGGAAGTTGACATCATGATATCTGGTGTAGTCGTCATAATCATCATCAAAACCTCCGCTTCCAGACGCATAATCATCAGCAAAAGATGGATCATTATGAATTTCTGCATTGAATTCATAGTCATCAGTGGAGTCATTAGGATGTCTCAAATGTCTGATTCTTTCTGCACACCTCTTTCCCAAATATCCGCTTAGATCGACATTGAAGCACTGACGCAGGTCAAGAGATTCAAGATGGGGACAACCATCAATAATGGCTTGCAGACCAACATTGGTCATCATATTTCCAAAAAGATGGAGGTGGCGCAATTCAGGCATGCTTTTTGCTATAGCAAACGCTTCCTCATCAAGCCCTTCCTCATCAGAATCTATATGGGAGCACCTATACCCCTGGTGATTCAGTCTAAAGGATTTTAGATGAGGGCACATGCGTCCTATGAATTCAATTGCTTCCTTTGAAAATGAGCAATAGGACAGTTGAAGCTCCTCCAATAGGGGCAATTTCTTGGCTACCTCCATCAATTCCTCGTCGCTAACATGATAGCAAGACACTAATCGAAGGCATATCAAAGGACTTGATCTGAAAGAGTAAAAAAGGTAACAAAATCACAATAATATATTCCTTGCCAAAAGACCAGAAGAGTGCAAGTATTGTGAGGTAAAAGGTGAACAACCAGCAAATTGGTGTACTACATAGTCATTACATGAGAGAGAGAGAGAGAGAGTTCTGAGTACCAATTTTGTTGGCCACTTATATCCATATTTTCCCTTGGGCTATGCTTATTTAATAGAAAAATAAGAGAAAGTAGGAAGTTGAGATTTCACAAATTTTGTAAGATTCCTTAAGAACTTTCTCAAAACTTTCTATCTCTCTTATTTTCTATCAAACCAAACACAGCCATACAGTTTCATCTTCATGCCTTGAGGTTGAAGGATTCAAGGATTCCCTCTCTCTCTCTAATCAATAATAGAGATTACATTAATTGATTAAATGCTAAAAAACATTCAACGGGAGCTAAAGTAACTTAACTCCCTACAAATGCCACTAAAGCCAAAAAACAGAAAGAATTACAGTTGAGCCCAAAAAACAGAGCTCCTATTCACCCCTTGTCTAGCTAACCCATCTGCAAAAGAGTTTGCACTTCTCTTTATCCAAGTGCATTGAACTTCCATATCTTTTGTCAGCCAGTTGTATTTCCTCTTTTCATTGCTGTAGCTCCATAGTCTTGAGTCTTCTCCTTTTAACCAATTCACTACAGTTTCAGAGTCTCCTTCTAAGATCAGCTTGTTTATGTTCAAGTCCTTAGCCCTTTGAATCCTTTCCAGAGCTGCTAAAATCTCAGCCCTCAATGAGTCCCCTATTCCAATTGGGCCAGAAAACATAGCCATCACAAACAATCTGATATTGATGGAAACAATTACTTGTTCATTGTTAGAGGTAAAGGTGGGTTGTTAAATAAAGATAGGGGGTAAATGAAACGCTAAAGTTGGGTGTTTTGGAATTGAACCAACCAGTTAAATGGGAGAACCATACACGGTACAGTAATCAAATAACTTTAAAAGAAGAAGGCATAGCTCCTTAATGGTTTGACACCCACTCCACTTTTCAAAAAAACTTTTGCTAAGCCCTAATTATGATCATCCGAAGAACTAACAGCATATTGACCCCCAAAACTCACTACAATATAATGAATGAAGTTATACCAGTACTTTAAGGAAGAGAGAGGGAATATTGGTATTTAGGTCCCCCCCCCTCTCCCAATATTCTATTGGGAACTTCCTTGAGCAATGGCTAGGTTATATACCACGCAACAGAGGTATCTTGTATAGGAAGGTGGTAGTGCATACTATAATGTGGTGTATCCAGGAGAAGTGGAATAAAAGGGTCTTTTGAAGGAAAAAAAAAACTCTTCCTTAGAAGACTAGGGATAATTCTTCTGTTACTTAACTCTTAGATGCACTTCCATGGGAGACCTCCTAGACCCCCTATGGAGTTTATACTTCAGTTTGATGGCAGTTGTAGAAGCTCATTAAATTACAGGGGTCAAGCTGGTATTGGGGGTAAATTATTAAATCTAATGGGGACTTGATCTGAGCCTTTAGTGGGCTAATTGGTGTAGTAGATGCTGCTGAAGCAGATACCTTTGCCTTCTGCCTTGTAGTTTTGTAGTGGACTTGTTTGGGCTTGACGTCTGCAGTGGAAGGAGACTCCAAGAATGTTATCTGCTGAATGAAAAGTTTCAAGGAGTATTCCTGCTCTCTCAGCCCAGGGGCCTCCATAACAGAAGAGTGAAATGCTATGCATTTGGGATACAAAAAGCTGTTGAGTCAATAAATTGGTAGTCGAAGGAGATTCAAAAGTAATCATCAGTTGGCTGAAGCAATCTGAAAAAGCCCTGTGGTGCTTTCAGCCCAGGGGCATTCCTGCCCTCTCAGCCCAGGGGACTCCATAACAGCAGAGTGGAATGCTATGGCATTTGTGATACAAAAAGCTGTTGAAATGGGAGTCAATAAATTGGTAGTAGAAGGAGATTCAAAAATAATCATCAGTTGGCTGAAACAGTCTGAAAAAGCCCCATGGTACTTTCAGAATGAGATCAAAAAGGCCAGAAGATTGTGAAGTAATAGGCAGGTGGAATTTCAGTGGGTCCCAAGGTTGGCTAATAATATTGTAGATCAACTAGCAAAGCAAGGGGCTAACAGGGCACAGTGCTTTTGGGCTTAGTTGTAAAGCTTAAGTCGAGTCACCATGGACCAAAGACTGACTGCAAGCTACTCCCTTCGCCGAACCAGCATCGACTCGGGAGTGGGGGCAACTGATGAGGGGCGATTTGGCCCTCCAGTGACATGATGACGCATGGCACCTCAAAACAGTCAAACAACATCTCAGCAACATGCAAGTAAGCCACGGATGCGCCTCGGACACCTCGGACCTGCCTGACGACCCTCGGCAGACCGAACTGCGAATGGGCCCGACAAGACATCAAGTCGGCATGAGAGGCAACCCGCTTTCACCAACCTGACCTGAGTTCAGCTAGCGACCTGCCTAACGCGTCGGGCAACCTCCTCCTTAAGTGGGCTATCGTCTCCAACTTCCCTGAGATCACAACACCACGTCGGAAGAGCCGGTTATCACTCCGCCCACTTCGGGCGCAATTGGATAAGCATTACCTGCTTACACGGAGTCCACCTCCGTGCATGAAACCACCTCCGAACCAGACAGACCGGAGATCTCAGACGCGCTTCGTGAGCCTCACGGCAGCTTGCCTATATAAAGGTGTCCCCTTCCTCTGAAAAGGCACGCGCGATTTAGCACTCAAGCACTCTAGTTCTCTTGCATTCTTGCAATCGCATTCTCAATTTGTTGACTTAAGCATCAGAGTGCCCACCCCGTGTAAAGCAACCCAAAAACTCTGATCTCTCTCTTGCAACTCAGCCAGGCGACCTACTCAGTTCGACGTCTGAGCTGTCCGCCAGCAGGGAGCACCAAATCGCGCATCATCAATCCCTCATCAGTACTGATAAAAAAAAATGAAAAATTTAAAGGAGGGCCCTTGGAAGATTCAACTACAGTTTTAATGAGATCTTGGAAATCATGTCTAGTATGATTTGCCATGTTAAATGGATTCCTAGATAATCGAATTGTGTCGTTGATGAATTGGCCAAGTCAGGGGTGGGGAGGGATTTTTTGCACAGCGACTTCTCAATGCCTTTGTAAATTCTAGGAGAGTTGTTTTTGGCTTTTGGTCCATTTTGGTATTGTTGTATCTCCTCTTGTACATCCTTCCCCTTCCTTTTTTTCAATAAGTATCCTTTTCTTAAAATAAAAAAAAAAGTTACATAGTGCTTTATGTTCCAGTCATAGACATCTTCAATGAAACGAGAATACAATAAGTAGATAACTAGTACAACAAGTAGTTATTGTACAATAAGTAGGTTTTTTTTATGAGAGAAAGGTAACTGAATTCACCCAGTTCTTATTTGAGAGTACAATAAGAAGATAACTAGTAGTTCACTCGGTTCTTATTTTTCCTTTCTAAATGCAACATTTTTTTATCATTAAGAGAAGCTTTTATTAAAGTCAAAATTGAAGTTTACAATAGGGTGGGAGATTTCTCCACCCCAAACTACAATTTTACAGCTTTGCCCAAAAAACAATTGATGCCTAATAGCCCCTTGTTTAACTAGAGTATCTGCCACCCCATTTGTTATTCTCCTCAGCCATTTAAAAGCAACGTTCAACTCCCTTGTAATACTTTCAGTTTCTCGAATTGTGTGCCTATAGATCCATGGGATTTGGGTACTGCATCTTGTCCAAGAAATAACCACCTGAGAGCCATCTTCCACCTCCAAGTTGTGGAATCTAAATTGCTTAGCAAATGTTAGTCCATGTAGTAATCCAAACCAATGTTTTAAAACGCGGAGGCGTGATGCGAGACATTCCACTACCTAAAAGTGTGAGGCGTAGTTCAAAATGTAAGAGGTGTAAGCCTCTTGAACACAAGGAGGCATAAGCCTCCTTAAGGGCAAAGGAATGAGGAGGAAGAAGAGGAAGAAGGATCTCATTTTTCTTTATTTTTAATAAAAATCTTTTATATTAAGAAGAATGAAGATGCATAGCACTAGTTAAAAGGGGGGAGGGGGTCTTGTCGAAGCGGAGAGCAAGCAAAGTGAGCTCGGAGCGGACTTGGAGACCTTGGTAGGAAGTGGCACCTTTGGCTCAATGATAGGATAGAACAATCATGGACTTGGAGACCCCCTACAACCATGATGTAGGATCAGCTCAGTTCTAGTCCTTGGAGAATGTTGAAATGGTCTTCTTTGATCAGAATTTTATGACCGTTGATGGCTGTAATAGCTTCTTGAAGGAATAAGAGAGAAAATAAGGAGAGAAAGAAGAGAGAAAATACCTGGAAATCACTCACAGGGTGCCTAGAATCACTCTAGGGCATGGGAATCACTCACCATAGTTGGCATAACCTGAAGAAAACTCATAAACTTCATTGCTCTTTGTGTAAAACGTCCGTACATATTTATAGACTATAAACTCATAATAAACCTAGGAGTCAAACTGTTAGACTCATAATAGTCTTAGGAATCAAACTATTAGACTCAATAATCCTAAGACTCAAACTAAGCTGTCATATCCTATTCCAATTCAAAGAAAACTCACTCTAATTCTACTTATGCAATGACTGATTTTTTTTTATCAGTGAATTGTCAAGTTTATTAAATCAAAGTCAAAGATAGTACAATTTAGGGAGAGGCACGAGATGCTACCTCCCCTTTAAGGAGGGGAGATGGAAGAAACCATCAACCCTTTAGTTAAAGAACATAACAAAGGAAAAAGAAAATTACAGAGAAGCCATATACAATGAAACCCAAGTAGCCCCTTGTTTAGCAAGATAATCAGCCAAGGCATTAGCCGATCTACCCAATCACTGAACTCTAATTGTCATGCCCCTCAATAGCCATTAAACCAGAGTAAGAACTTGTTATGACCTTGATACTCTTTCCCAAAAAGCAGTTCCTTTTTACTTCCACAATAATTTGCATGAGGAGTTTAGCCATCATCCATGGATGTCTGATCCAAAAACACACACTGGTGCAAAATGGCATAACCAATTACCATCATTCAATGAATAAATTTAAGTGCAAAGGGCATTATATGAAATTACAGAATGCAAATAATTCTAGTATAAAGCTAAAATTTACACTGCAGAAACAACAAACCTGACGGATGTTTCCAAATGCTTTTAGCCTTGCATCATTAGAAAGCAATGGTAAACATTTAAAATATACAAATAAACATAAGTGCAAGGGGAATTATATGAAATTACAGAATGCAATAAGCCAATAATTATATCGTAAAGCTATAATTTATGCTGCATAAATACTGCTGCAGAAACAACAAACCTGGCTGCTGCTTCCAAACACTTTTAGCGTTGCACCATTAGTACGCAATTTTAAATATTTTAAACTGTCTTAAACTGCAAATAATAAGCTTAAATGCTTATGTTGTATGCAACAAGAAGAGGCTCCTATAGCGTTGTTTACAAATTACAAGCTTTAATTGAACATCGTTGAACGTTTTAAATTATAAATAACCTTCCGATAAATATAAATCTAATGGCATTTATTTCCAAACCGCTTACTCTTTGACCGTTATACCATTGCTTTTCATGTCTTCGGGTTCTTCTTTCACACTCCTCGAAACTGCGTTCTTTATTACCGTAACATAAGGACAAAATTCAGAAAGAAATACAATAGAAGTCTAATATGTTGTTTTGTCCACAAAATGTGATCCACAATCACAACTTTAGTCAACACGAAACTTTGCAGTTTGCATTTAGCAGAATCCGTTTAAAAACTTTTCACGTTATTTCAGAGTTTTTTTTTTATCGATACATGACGAAAATAAAATAACGCAATTTTTTTTATAATTAATAACAACGCAATTTTTAAGCAGGATTTCGAACATCGGAGGGGTATTTAAAAAACAAGCAAAAAGGAAAGAAAACCATCAGACGACACGAGGATGGGGTTATCTTACTTCTCGATGATGCGCTCTAAAACTTTGTCAGTTGCAAAATGTTCCGCTGAGAATTCGACCAATTGCCCATCGCTTCTATCTATAGCATGCAATGCCATTCTCTCTAGATCATACTCGGTCTCGAAGTAATCCCACATTTCCCGCATATCTATGCGTCTCCAAAGCTGAGGCGCTTTAGAGAACTTCCTCCAAGAAGAACATACAGCTTGAGCTCGAGCAAGGACTTCAATGGCACCAAGTTTCATAAATATTAGAGACAAAACATCCGCAGGCAATTCAAGCCAGTTCCTCACTTCCTCCGGTGAATCTGGGTTTGCAGTCTCCATGGTTGCAACAACGGACTGAACCTTCTGGGAGATGACCACTCGTCTTCGAAACGCTTAAGCAAAGGATTTCTAGGCTTCTGAGACTAACGGGAGATTCTAGGGTATGTCATCGTCTTCTTCATATATCGAGGAAGACGTTTTCGGGCCGGAATAAACCAGACACGATACCCCAACCGCCTTTAAAAGTTAAAACCATAACTGCTTAAGCCGATTGAGAAATAAAATGCACGAAAAGGCAAAAGTACCCCTATGAACTGCTTATATACCGTCACACCGTGGTTAATGTATGGTCCGTTTGCCATAAAACAAACTAAAAAAATTGGAGTCCGGCTGCAAAAAAAAAAGGGGAGGGGGGTATTTGTGGATTATACTGTCACCTATCCCCAATCTCAATCGACCAACGTTAACGTGTCACCGTTAGCATGGGCTAGCCGGTTCAACCGGCCACAAAAAATTCAAAATACAACTCAAAAACACTTCCCTCATTCTCTCTCCCATTTTGTAGAGTTTTTGTTGCTTTTCCTCTACCAAACCCTACTACCACAGCGGAAGGTGACTCGAACCAGCGGCCATCGGCGGCGAGAGCCCCGACGATACAATTTTTGGCCTCTTCTTCTTCTTCTTCCAAAGCCCAAAGTTCCAAAACCCTGTTCAGTGTATGCATTTTATCATTCTTGGGATTCAAGGGCTCATTCCGTGAAGGGCAAGGTCTGTGCTGCCAGCATTCAGATAGTCGGATCAGTGATCACATCACAACATGGTGTGCGAATTCATCATTCTATTTATCATTCAGTTCTTCTCCAACAATGGAAGATCTCATATTCTAACTTGTCCTTACCAAGTTACCAATCGGTGGTTGCATCCAGAATTTCTCAAATGCTTAAAATTCAATAATCAATATACACTTGTAAACCAAACAACAACAACTTTTCTCAAATGGTGATTGAATGCAAAAAACTCATCTCATTCCTCCCACCCATAATGCCACCCAGCCCTCATCTGATCACCGGATTTTGTCCATCTACCCCTTTGCTTTGGTTTCTCTTCTCTTATTTGGAACCGTGAGGCTAGTATCAGAGAACTTCTATTGGAGAAACAATGCAAACGCCCGTTCTCTCCAATCAACTTCTCTGGAGATTCTACCATCCGAAAGTGAAGAGTAGGGATCATCGACTGATAATTCTGGCCATGAATCCATTGTGGGCTGGTGCAATGTGTTTGATGGGAGATGGGTGTTGGACAATGTGTCCCATCCTTGTATACTGAATGGGAGGCCTGATTCTCTTAATTAGAATTGGAGATGGGAGCCTTACAAGCGCAAACTACCAAGGTAACAAGCATTTACACCAGCAAGAATTCTATTACAATCATACAGGACTACTCACTCGACACTTTTTACTGATCCATAGTCCACACCTAACATTTCTGGCTTCCATGTATGTAAAAGTCATCCTGATTCATGTCTAGTGGCTGTTTTTCTTGGTAGGCCCATTGATTGGACCATTGGATTTCTCAGGTTTGATGCCAAGAAGCTGCTGGAGGTTTTGAGAAACAAAAGACTAATGTTCATAGGCGACTCAATTCAGAGAACCCAATGGGAATCCATTGTCTGCCTTGTACAGTCAGTCATTCCTGATGGAAAGAAATCCATCCACAGGCATCTTCCCATGAAGATTTTCAGAGCAGAGGAGGCCAGAAAACGTACTGTCGGAGCTCTCGCCACTGATGGCCGTTGGTTCGGATCACCGTCTGTTGTGATATGGTCGCCGGTGTATGAGTAGGATTCGGTGGAAGAAAAGTAACGAAACTCTGCAAAATGGGAGGGAGAATAAGGGAGGAATGCGGGCTGAGTATTTTTGAGTTATGTCTTTTTGTGGCTGGTTGAACCGGCTAGCCCATGCTAACGATGAAAAATGTGTTGACGTTCTGAATCTTGGGAATGGGCGATGTGGTCAATTAAGATTGGTGGGTCCACGCATCCAGTGAACCCACCGGTGCACAGAACGTGGACTCTAATTATCAATGCAAACTACACCATACAAGGGGAATTCAGATTTACATGGTCCTCACATCCACTTCACGGCACTTGCAGCTAGCTCTGTTGCATTGTAAATATGTAGAGTGTAAAATCTTATATTTTTTATTATTTTGTATGTATTTGTATTATATAATTTACATTTCTATTTTTTCCAAACTGAGCCTGAATAAAAAGCATATAGTACAGAGATATTTCAACGTGTATTCAAGGGCTCCTCTTAGTTAGGGGATTGACCAACTTTTCCCTATGTTCTATTAGTAACTAGTAAAGAGTGAAGTGTGTGATACACTAAAATAAAACCGGATAAGTATTTGGCACTAAGGCTAAGGGTGTCAATTGACCAATTTTGAATCAGATCTAATCCAACACTTATAAAATCGAATTTGAACGCGCCATGGACCAATCTAAAATAAGTTGTATATTCCTTTTGAATTGAGTTGGAGGCTCGAAGTCTGAAATTTGAAACCCATTGAAGGCTCGAAGTCTGAAACCCCTAATTGAGCAACCAAAACCTTAAGGCTGAAATCCTTGTTCAGATGTTCAAAGCAGCCTTTCCCATTAGAAATCTAGAACCAAGTTTACCTTGCTCTCTAGCAGTTATTCTCTGTAGAGACCTAGAATTAAGCAGGTTTCTCTTGCTTTCTGGCAGTTACTCTCTAGAGACCTAGAACCAGGTTTCTCTCACTCTCTGGTAGCCCTTCTCTGTCAAAACAATCTCTCTAGTGTGCGATCTCTCTTACTTTCTTCAATGGTTCATATTTATCTGGTGGGATATTACAGAGATTTTTTTTTTCATTTTTTAGCGTTTTTCTTTCGACCGAATAGGTGCATTCTTCTTCCAGTCGTTGATTTGAATGTAAAATATCATATATGCATGGCGTAGATTTGATCTGGAATCTTCAATAAATATATTCATATGTTTATATCACACTATCCAAATTAACTCAATTTGTTTCAGAGGTTTTATATCTAGATCTTAAGACAACAAATTGATCGGACTAAATTTGATATACCTATTCATAAATTGATTTATATCAAATTCATATTGAAACCATATATTGAATAGCATTAATGATTCGAAGAAATTTCTTTCTATCATTGCATCGTAACCCTGTGCAGTATGAAAGCTTTTACAACATTTGATTTTGGAAGTTAGTGATATTATCTCAATAGACTTGTATCATTCTTGTTGATGTTTAGACCAATCAGTCTAATGTGAAATTTAATAGAAGCACAAACTTATTGTTGTATGGAAGCAATTCATGAACTCGAGCCTTTCTGATTCATCTATTATTGTCTTAATTGATTAACATGCATTTGATTTTTAAAATTGATAGTCATGCTGGATATTCTTACATATTTTTAGACTATGAATTCTTTTTCTCCTCATCGATTCGATGGTTGCTCATTATCACTTAATTTTTAAATTGATATTCATCCATTCATCCACTCCCCTTTCTCATTCCCCTTTTTTCATAATTTGCACGGGCTAGGCTCTACATGTGTTGGCAGTTGCTTGTCCACTATTGGTCCCAAACCCAATAAAGGAGGCGATTTGTGTCAAGTTGGCAGTTAACGTAAAAACCTTTGGGCTATGTTTGGTTGCAGTGTAAATAAATTTGTACTGATACAAAACCATAGTAATGCAAATGATTTTAATGTAAATTTTAATTATTTTTATTTCAAATGTTAGCTTATTTTGTTTGATTGCAGTACAAATAAAATAAATTAAAATATGAAACAGAATAAAATAAAATCCAAAACAAAATTAAACAAGAATTTTCTTTTTTTTAACATTTGCACTCCCATGCATTTATGCTAGTGCAAATAATTCTGCATTTCATAAAATTCCATATTAAGCAAGGCCAGTAAGCAAAGTATAGGCAGTCTGAAGAAGTCAAAGAAAATGCAGCACGTAGGCATGTAGACTAGTTTTGAAATTATCTTTAATATGGTCATTATAACTTACTATAAATTAGTTTTTTTTTTTTTTTATTTATTGAAATAACGCGTCTATTGAGAAGTGAATCATAAAGAAAGTTATAATCTTTGAGACAGGTATGTTCTCAGTGATTTGGGTCAACTGCCCCACGCCAAACTGATGAAGACGTCTCCATGGATTTATATATGTACATTTGTGTGTATATTAGTGCAAGATGAGGATATCTCCCATGGTTTTTAAAACTGACCTGGTGATCGAACCGGTCAGGGTTCGGTTATCGGTTCGAATGATCGGATTGTTCGACTCGAATAGTTAGTTCATTTTGATAATAAAATTAAAAAAATTGAAGAAATTTAAAAACGGTCAAAATTGTTCGAACGATTAACCGACTAGTTTAGCGGTTTGCTGATCAAAATCAATGATTTTGGGGGGAAAAGCAGTTTTGGAAAAAAATGGAACCGATCAGGTGACCGATTCTCAGTTTTTCCAGTCCGACCGCCTGGTCCGATCCGGTTTTGAAAACCATGCTATCTACAATGATTTATATATGCTTTTTAGATTGCATAACATGTTTTCTATAGAAATTGCAAGTGTGTTATCTCTCTCTAATGTATATATATATATATATATCCATTTCAATACGTTTCATATTTATATGTCTTATGTATGTAATAGGACACCATGCATGAGTTCACAAGTTGGATTTTGTACTCTATTATTTTTTATAAAAACAAAATAATGTAATAATGCATACATAATATTTCCTATTTTATCACCAAAATTGTTGTCACTGTTTTTTACTTCAATCCCAAACAAGACTATTTGGTTGTAAATCTTGGTCTTTTTTAATCAATAAAACCACCCAATATTTTTAGTCAGGAAATCATATCTATGGAAGTCAAATAATTAATGATATAATTTGTTTTCTCGTGTATATGGTCATGATGCCAATAAACTCTGCATTCATGTTCATCATGTTTTCTCATACATGCATGCATGCATGATTGTATGTTTATCATCAGTTATGTATGTTCAATCATGTTATGGGGATAGAGGCATGGAGTGTTTCAGATGCTAAGCAGGTGGGCGGATGGACCTGTTTATGTGATCCAGTGTCCAATTCTCCCAGGACACTGGGACACATAAACCTGTTTATCATGTTTTATCTCATATCTTATATATATATATATCAATCTAATATATAATATGTGTTGGGTTGGGGCTTGGGCATTGAAGTGTTGGCCAACCCAATCTAGCTTACCACATTGTTGGTAAAGTTTCTAGCTGATTGTAGTCAAATTTGTGATCAAATCTTGCCTTCATCTCAGTTGGGGTTTAAGAGTTTGGGGTAGGGGTGATCATGGCCAGGTCAAACTAGGTTGGGTTTGAGGGCTTTTTTGGCACTTGTGATAAGAGCTATGGCGTGGGTTCAAGTTTCGGGCTTGATTTCAAGCCTATACCTTTTTTTTTCATAAAAACAATAAATACATAACATTTTATATTACATGCAAAATTTATTTTATACTATATAATATAAAATATACGTTACATTGTATGTTTTATAAATAATTATTATGACATGACATGTATAATTCGTGTATCAAATAACGTTTTCATATTATATAATATTAGACCTAAGTTTGGCCTGGAAAATTGGGGGCCTGGTGTGGGTCTAGGCTTGAACAGGGGTACTCATAAAAAACTGAAAAAATGAAAAGGCAAACCGAATGAAAATGTTTGGTTAATTAAACCGATTAATCTGCTTTTGGTTCGGTATTAAAACAAACGAAGATATCAGTTCAGTTTTGATTAACCATTATAAAAAAACCGATGATTAACCACAACAACCAGTGTATATATATTTATGTATATTACATATGTGTTTTTCATATATATTTTTGTATTATATATATTATCAATAAATATATATATATACATTATATATATTTATTATATATACTATTATTTACTATTTACAATCTAATATATTATATGTATTTATTTATAATGTATATTACAAACATCAATAAATCGAAGAACCAAATTGATCAATAACTGAATTGATCAACCGGTTGGTTTCGTTTCATGGTTTTACAAGAACTGATGGTACCAGGTTGGTTTGGTAAAACAGGCCCATAGTTGGTTAATTAAACCGTAAGAACTCATAGACCTAAATCGGGCCTAAACACAAACCTTGGCCCAAGCGTTGAACTTTCGGGCATGGCTAGGCAAAAAATGATCAATCTAGTTGGGGGAGGGGCGGATGACTACTTGTATTGTGTAAAGGGCTACTTATCAAGAACCGAATTGAACGAATGAAATCCAACAAAAAAAAATCCAATTAACCGAATTGGTCTGTTTGATATTTCTGAAAAAAACAAAGGTATCAGTTCAGTTTAGTTCTAGTTAAACAATTTGAAAAAATTGGTGATTAATCAAATCGATTGGCGTGTATATATATATATATATCTTACATTAATAATTAGCTATTTATAATATATAATATATTACATATTTATTTATACAATATATTATAAATATGAAAAAAAATTAAAGAATCAAATCAATCAAAAAATTAACTGATCAAACAATTAATCAATTGGTTTTGATTTGGAATTTTCCAAAAACTAAAAGACTGGTTTGGTTTGAAGAAAAACCATGGTTCAGTGTGAGCACTCTCATATATTAAACATGTAGCGACTGTAGCCTATTACCAAAAACTCATGCCTAGAGCTATAATGTGGGCCGAGATGGTGGCGGGCTTGCCGGGCCTAGGCTGTCGAGGGGACCAATCCCCCAAAGCACGACCCACATTACTTGGATTTAAGAATTATTTGTAATATTTCCAATTTTATTTGTGAGTTATTTGTACATTTTCAAATAATCCGATCCCATTGTAATTTTTGTCTTTAATTTTATCATTTCATTAATTAAACTCCATTGTATTATTTTTTCAATGTATTTTATATTATTTGTACACATTAAAATTGAAATGAAGTAAAATTTTCCAACTTATTGTCTATTATTCATGTTAATTTTTCTGCTATTATATGTTGTTTTTTTCCTATTGTTTCTTAGTTTAAGAAAAATAGGCCCGACCGGGTCCGGTTCGTATGGACCGGCCCGGCCCAACTAGAAACCGAGCCACGGACCATGCCGGACCTGACATGGGCTGCCCAAGCACAGCCCGCCGAGGCCCGAGGCTCGACACGGCGACACGGATGGCGTCCGTCCGCCTTCAATTCGTTCACGCCTTCACGGCACGGCCCACATGACAGGTCTACTTATGCGGTCATGCCTCTATTTTAATTCGGGTCGGTGTCCACTGTCCGCCTGTCCGGGTAGATTCCGGTCCATCTCAGCACAAATAGCCATATGGCCATATCCATTTCTTTCGTTGAAACTTGAAAGCCCAGAGCCTTCGCTGCCTTCTGGTTAAAAGCCCTTTTTAAATAAAATTGAAAAAACCCAGTACTCCATACTTCCGAGTTCCGACCAGGGCTCTGCAACTGCAACTGAAACCCCTAACTCTACACTCCATCTCTCTGCCTCCGTGGTATTCGATCCCTAGCTTCACCTTCAATGGCGGCGATGCTGGTAAGTTCATTTACATTTTCTCTAAAGGGGGAAAAAAAATCTGTTCCGTCTCGATTCCAACATAGGACCCTAAATGCTCGTTTCTTATTACTCCATCTGTATCTATTCTCGGTGCTTACACGTGAGCTTGTATATATTGTTTTGTAAAAAACACAGCAACCGCAGATAATTTTGTTGAAAGAAGGGACTGATACATCGCAAGGGAAGCCACAACTAGTGAGCAACATCAATGCGTGTACAGTGGTGGCAGATTCAGTACGAACGACGCTGGGTCCGCGAGGGATGGATAAGCTGATCCACGATGACAAGGGTACTACCACCATTTCTAACGACGGAGCTACTATCATGAAACTGCTGGACATCGTACACCCAGCCGCGAAGATTCTTGTCGATATTGCCAAGTCTCAAGACTCAGAGGTATACCTATCAATCAAAAATAATTGCCATTTCATGTATTCAGTTTTTAAATTTTGTTACTCTTCTGAGGTGGATGGTTGGTGCATGTCGAATTTGATCCAGTTGTCTGTTACTGCCATTTAAACATCACCAGTTTAGTGAGCTTATGTCACACAGGATTGCTCTCCCTTTTTCGTTCTCACAGCAGATCTAGGATCAACGAGCTGCTAGCTCACGTTTGAAATGGTAAGGGTCTTATAAATGCACAGTCCCGTGGTGACACGACACCTACCTTATTGAGGTTCACCATGCTGGTAAATGGCTCAGTCCCGCCAAGCGAAGCTGTTATTCATGAAGTCCACGCTGTCAGCCAAAAGGTTGACCATGCATAAGTCATTCTATCGACCTTTTAGATTCTTCCAGGCGTTTCAAGGATGCGAGTTTCATTCAAAATGGTGCTTGATTTGGTTGTGGGGCACTTTGGGGTCGTAATTGATTATCTCTCAGCACCTTCATGATGATGTTACTGCAAGATAACCGGGTTTCAGGACTGCAAGTTCTGATTGTTGATTGAAGATTTTGGAAAATCCAAAGTTCGTACTAGAAAATACACACAGACATGCAAACACATATTTATATCATGTTTTGATGAAAAAAGCATATCACACATCACAAAGAATCTATAATTTGGATTCATGAAGCTTCCCGGTTATATCACTCAGTATGTGCGTGTGTGTTTTGTTTTGTTTTTGTTTTTTTTTTTTTTTTCTTTTTAAATTAATACCAAAATGGTACATAGTTCAATTTTTGAGTGGATGTGCAGGTTGGTGATGGAACCACTACTGTTGTCCTTCTTGCAGCGGAGTTTCTGAAAGAGGCCAAGCCTTTCATAGAGGATGGAGTCCATTCTCAGAATCTCATTAGGAGTTATAGGACTGCATGCTCTATGGTATTTTGATGTTTTCTTCCCTTTGACTGGGTTCCTTTTGAAGCTAAAAGTTAGCATTTTCCTGAGCTTAAAAACATTTGAATCAGGCAATTGACAAGATCAAAGAACTTGCTATAAGCATAGAGGGAAAAAGCCTGGAAGAAAAGAAAAGCTTATTAGCTAAATGTGCTGCTACTACACTTTCATCGAAGCTCATTGGTGGTGAAAAGGAGTTTTTTGCATCCATGGTTGTGGAGGCTGTCATTGCTATTGGCAATGATGATAGATTAAATTTAATTGGAATAAAAAAGGTATCCCTTTTTCTCCCTAGGTATTCAAATTTACTTGCTATTTCTTTCATCTTCATGATTTGGATTTCCTAAGGCTATATCACCTTCATTAGCAATTTGCTTAATTTTTTTGGTATGATTCATCAGTCGTTATATCTTATGTTGGTGCCTTGTCTCTTCTCTTTACTTGTATGTGACTTGTTATTTACATCCTTAAGTTGTGATATTCTTTACATTTTATCTGGATTACCTTTACTTTTAAATTGAGCTTGGAATTCTAATTTTTCCCTTTTTTGGTATGATTCATCAGTTGTTATATCTTTTGTTGGTACCCTATCTCTTCTTTTTACTTGTATGTGACATGTTATTTATGTCCTTAAGTTTTGATCTTCTTTACATTTTATCTAGCTTACCTTTTATTGTCAGATTGAGCTTGAGATTCTAATTTTGCCCTTTTTGATACTTGAAACTTTATGTAGTGCTCTTTAAAGGTAATTTTCATTATTATTATTACTTTTTTTTTTCAAAGCTTGTCATTTTATCATTCGTGATTCATGCCCTACCCATGTCAGTAGCATTTCTTTCAAACAAATGCTTTATTCCATTTTTCTTTATGTTGAATTGATTCGATGAGAATAGAGGTCTTGTTTATATTTGTTTGAATGAAGGAATATGCATTAAAAACTCTCTCCAGTAAAATTTGGTAACCTTTGTTTGCCCATAAGTTGTGAGATAAAGAGGGAAAAGGGGGAAGGTCAAAATTTTCAGATGGCTTACAATCATTTAGAAAATTCTCATCACCTAATCACCATTAACAACATCCCAAGACCTAGATTGTGATGGGAAACAACTTAAGGCATATCATAAGAGAACCAAAGCTGCTCCTGTGCTTTTTTGGCATCATTATGATGATGTGGGGCCTACATGGGAGCTGGGTTAGTAGTGGATCAACTTGGGAAAATCCTAAATTCTTCAATCCACATTAAGAGGTTCTTTGTGTGGTTGAGTTTGTTGTTGGACATGACTTATTTGACTTTCTTACATTTTTGGAAAGTAAGGGTGTTTTTGTAATTTTGTGTGTGTGTGGGGGGTATGTTTGGGGACAGGTCTTAGCCTAGTAATTTCCCTTTGTTTGCCTTTATGTTTATTATTGTTTGGAGCAGGTTTAGCGTAATCTAGCTTCTTTTTGTAAGTAGCTTGTTAGGCAAGCTAACTAGGGGAGGGAGGGGGTGATGGAGTTTCTTCCTTGTTAAGCTTGTAAGGCTCATTTGGAGAACAATTTTGGCTAATGAACAAAGAAAGTTCCTCTACAGAATTTGGTGCTATTGCCAAGTTGGGGTTGTGATTGCCTAGGGTTTTCATCTTATTCCCATATCTTCTTTTCTCTTCTTTATTTTGTTAGCTTTTTGTTTCTATGCTATACGTCTAGACCTAAGTTTAGTTGCAAGAATAGTGCTGAGTCATAAAGATCTTGCATCAGTTTGGTATTAGAGCAAGGATCAACACTATGACAACTCGTAGTGGGGAGAACTTTAGAAGGAGATTGATTGATAGATAACTGGATGATTTCATTTACATGATCATGGAAGGGGTTGATGCATTGGAAGCTCAAGTTAAGGAGTTACAACAAAGTTCTCAACAACCACAAGTTAATGGCACAAGTACCATTAGAGAGGCTTTTTCTAGTGCCCCAAGAAATGTTGGGGAACCACTGGTTGGGATTGTGATTGCCTAGGGTTTTCATCTTATTCCCATATCTTCTTGTCTCTTCTTTCTTTTGTTAGTTTTTTGTTTCTATGATACACATATAAACCTAAGTTTAGTTGCAAGAATAGTGCTAAGTCACAAAGATCTTGCATCAGTTTGGTATTAGAGCAGGGATCAACGCTATGACAACTCATAATGGAAATAACTTTAGAAGGAGATTGATTGATAGACAACTGGACAATTTCATTTACTTCATCATGGAAGGGGTTGATGCATTGGAAGCTCAAGTCAAGGAGTTATAACAAGGTTCTCAACAACCACAAGTTAATGCTACAAGTACCATTTGAGAGGTTTTTTCTAGTGCCCCAAGGAATGGTGGGGAACTCTTGGTTGAAGCTGAAACAAGGAGAGAGAGGATTTTGGTTTCACCAAGGCCACACCCATGAGCAATGTAGTTGTACGAGAGGCCTCAATCACCTCTTTTGGAGATGGCACATGAAGTACTAGAGCAAGATCAACTTGAGAGATATGATGCCTATGAGACAGCTGGAGATATCAACAAGAAGGTATGAATTGAAGTTCTGGATTTTCATGGTAAGATTGATCTTCAAGCTTTTTTTGATTGGCTTTCCATTTTAGAAAGGTACTTTGATTCGTATGATATGTCAGATGAGTGGAAGGTTAGGTTCACTATCATGATTTAAGAGATGTTGGACTACCACCCATCATCCATTGGGAGGAGAGGAAGCAAAAATATTTGCCTTATGATTACCAAGATGATCTCTTTTATCAACTTAACAATTTAGAGTAAGGAAGCACGCTGGTGGTGGAGTATATGAACAAATTTGAAGAGCTGAAAGTTTTCATGTAGAGGAATTAAAGATCTGTGCCAAACACTTTCACATTTCAAAAACGGATTGGGGGCTGAAATAAGGAACCATATGGTTGTTCATCGTTTTTATAATGTGGATGAAGCCTTCCAAATAGCCTTGAAAATTGAGAAGAGCATACGGTAGCCTCCTATTAAGAAATTTACTTCTCAAACTAGAGAGATGACAGCTAGAAGACTTGTTAATTTGTCTAAAACCATGCGGTCAACACCTCCATATGGCACTACTAATCAACCAAATGGCTCTAGAGCCTATACTTAATGAACCATATGATCTTAAAGGAAAGACACCTATGGTAGTTGTTAACACAGGAGGATAAGAGGCTATGTTGTTTTCGTTGTCAAGGACATAGCCATATGGTTTATGAGTGTCCAACAAGAAAGGCTTTGAATGTTGCTATTGGGCAATATGAAGAGAGGCTTCTTAAACCACAGGCCCATGATCCACAAGATTATGGGTATGACTCACCTAAGGGAGATGATTTTGGAAACTATGGCGGTGCTGATTTGTAGGATACTTGTGTAGATGCTTCCCTTGTGAACATGGTGAGATGAATGCTTTCTGTTCAAAAGAAAGAGGATTGGAGGCAAACTACTATTTTTCAAGCATTGTTTAGATGTGGAAATCAAGCTAAAAAGCTTATTATTGATGGTTGGAGCTGCATGAATGTGGTGTCTGAATCAATTGTTGAGCACTTGAAGTTGCTAATGGAACCACATCCTCAACCATAAAAAGTTGCTTGGATCGACAACACCTCCCTTCCAGTAACTAAACAATGCTTGGTTTCTTTTCCCATTCTTCATTATTCATACTCTATTTGGTGCGATGTTATTCCCATGGATGTTATCCGCATTTTACTTTGACCTTGAATATATGACCAAGATGTATAACATTGTGGAAAGCTAAACACCTATGACTTCATGTTTAATAATCAACAAGTTATTTTAAGGCCAATGTCAATAGAACAAATTGGAAATTATGGTGAAAAGGCATTGAAGTGTGCTGCTAAATTGAAGAAGGCCTTACACGTGATCACAAAAGAGTTTGAGGTAGAGCAAAGAGACGAGAGTCATCTATGCTGTAGCAGCCAATGAAGTGGAGAAAACAACACTTGTATCACTTGTAGACGCACCTCCAAAAGTGCACAAGTTGCTCTCAGGTTTTCTAATGTGGCATTGGAAGAACTTCCTAATGAGTTTCCGTCAATCCGCAACATCCAACATGCTATTGATTTTGTTCCAAGTTCTCAACGTCCCAACTTGCTTGCACATTGCATGAACCCAATAGAATATGTTGAACTTAAAAGGCAAGTTGAAGAGTCACTGTCTCAAGGTTTCAATCCAAGAAAGCGTTGGTCCTTGTGTAGTTCCAGCACTTTTGACACCAAAGAAGGATGGCTCTTGGTGTATGTGTGTTGATAGTTGAGCCATTAATAAGATCACCCTTAAGTATAGGTTCCCCATTCCTAGGCTTGATGATATGCTTGACATTATGGCTGGTGCAACAATCTTTTTCAAGATAGATAGATCTGAAGAGCAGGTCCCATTAGATTATAATTCAACCGGTGACGAATGGAAGACAACATTCAAGACCAAGGATGGCTTGTATTTGTGGTTGGTTATGCTCTTTGGTCTCTCTAATGCACCTAGCACTTTTATGCGGGCTATGAATCAGGTACTCCAACCCTTTATCGGTTGTTTCATTGTAATTTACTTTGATGATATACTAGTATATAGCAAGGATAGTGATACACATGTTGCCCACCTTGAGCAAGTTATGAGGGTTCTTTGTTAGGAGAAGCTCTGTGTTAACTTGAAGATGTGTTTTATGGTGCCCGGTGTTGTATTTCTTGGTTTAGTTGTATCAACTGATAGTGAAATAACTTGTGATGTCTCTCATGTTGGTATTGGAGGAACTCTTAGTCAAGAGGGTCACTTGTTAGCTTTTTTTTGGTGTGAAACTTAATGAAGCCAAGCAAGAATACAACACCTATGACAAGGAACTCTATGTTGTAATGCAAACCTTGTATTATTGGCGACATTATCTTATTCCAGAGAATTTGTTCTCTTTTTGAATCATGAGGCCTTGAAGCGCATCAATTCTCAAAAGAGGTTGAATCAATGACATGCTAAATGAGTTGCATTCTTCTAGGAATACAATTCTGTGATTAAACACAAGGTTGGGAAGGAGAATAAAGCAACTGATGCACTTAGATGAGTGGTCTATATTCGCTCTACTATGGTTGTACAGGTGGTAGACTTTGATTTGTTCAAGAAGGACTACCCTACATGTCAAGATTTCAGCATTATCTATGCAGATTTGTAGTCAGGACAATAATCATCATACCATACTTGATACTTTTCATTACATGATGGCTTTCTCTTCCAAGGGGCTCATCTTTGTCTACCCAATACCTCACATAGG